ACCAGAATATTAATATATCTGAGTGCTCTATTTTAGTGCCACTGTGAAAAGCAAACAGAAGAATAGCTATGCTGATAGGGTGAGGCACAAAGATTCATCAACCCTTGCAAGAAGTGGTATGTAATAGCCTTAAAGACACCCCCAGTAGCCCCAATTTATTTATAATACTTCCCATATCAATTTGCACCATGCAAGTCACCAGGAATAACTGCGGAACGATAAAGACAGACCTGTTTTGTCATTTGTCTCTTAATTCGTGGCTCCACAAATTCAACAGTTTTAAAATGCATATTTTTTCCAGTATTTCCATATAAGCATCTTCTGTAGTTGTCATATTTAAATTATACCCTAAAAACCATTTTAACACATCTTTTTATTGTCTTTCTTTCTTTCTTTTTTTTTTTTTTTTCTTCCTTCTTAAGTAATGAGTCTTTAATGAATTGTGATGTGTGCTTTATGTTTTGCTCATTATTAGCCTGCCATGTGGCCTTTATTTTCTCTAGCAACCTGTGGGTGGTCATACACTCACCTGGTAGCTTTCTTTGAGCTAAGCTACCAGTCTTGCAAGACTGATTTTATTGAAAACCAAACGATTGTCCCAGAATTGCTTTCATATATATAGCTGGAAAACCTCTGTTTCTCTAAAGCCAGCCATGCAGTGCAATGAAGTCAGGCAAATGTCTCTCATTGACATCCCTGGGCTTTGGCTTGGGCCCCTTGCCAATGTTTTCTTTAAATGGGCCTTTAAGAGTTTCATATATTCAACTCATAGCAATTCTTAAGTTCAAAAAGAGTAAACATGTTCTAGAGCTGAATTGTAATGTATTCTCTTCAAATCCACACTGCTAGTAAAAATATTCATTTGATTACAGTGGCTGGCTGACACTATATTTTGAATGTACAAGTTGGTTCTGTGCTGTTCTGAAATACAAAACTGGAAACCAGGCACAAGTGTTAACATGTACAAAAGACAAACTGTCAAAGACCTGAGACCGCTGGGATGGGTAAAAGGAAAAAGAAAAGTATAAAAGAAACATCTGCAGCAAGCTCTACAAAAGAGGGAAATAGACAGATACAGATCCCCATGCCTGGGGAGAAGGAAAAGGGGAGATAACTTTGAGTTGATTCTGCCTGGCTGGGACTCCTCCACAGACTGCCCACTCTCCCACTTCAAAGACCTTCATGCTGTCTCAGGGCTGCCCCCGCAACACCTCTCAAGTATCTCACTTCATTTTCTCAGCCTTTTAATTTTGCCCAGTACCTGTGTCGTAAGAAACAGTTTGTCTCCTAGCACTGAATATTTAAAGCACAGGTAAATCTGATTAGCTCAGTTCAGCTGAATGGCTTTTAGCTCCAGAAAGCAAAGATTTTTATTGTTGTTATTATTATTGTCTCTTCCCCTCTATGTTGGCAAACTGTCTCTGTCTCTTATGAAAATTGTGTTCTATTATAAAGTCTGATGAAAATGAAGTGAAGAATTGCATTAAATATAAAGAAATTGAGGAAGGTTTAAAGTCATAATATATTTATTAAAATAAACCGACTTGAGGTTGTTGAGATATTTAGGGCAGTTTGTATTCATTATTTTATATGTAGTTTGCCTTTGCATAAAATACTGAAGTGTTCTGTGGGGAATGTATGTATTTTATTTAGAAACGATACTACATCAGAGAGGCCAGCTAGCAGCCATGCGTACTGCATGGCCACCAAAGGACGGTGCTGATCTCTGTTCTTCCCAGGCATGGTGGGAATTAGCACTGAACTTTCCTTTTTCTCTCCAAACCTGGCCAATGCAGGTCAACACACTTCTTCCACCTTCCTGTGTTACAATGAAGGGGGGCTGTTCACCTTGAAATACAGTTTTTAACATTGCTCAGTGTTATGCACTGTGTTGAGTTTACAGCTAAAGCCCTGAAGGCTTTCTTCACCTCCAGCTTAACCCCTTCTGAAGTAAACCTGCAAGACTGAGTCAGGTCTTGCTGGCTCCCAGACAAGGTGCTGTAACCTCAGCAGCGTGGTGGCACCTACATGGGGCTCACAAGCTGGACATAAATTTAGCTGCATGGCTCAATTCTGCCAGGAGGTTTGAAAGCTTAGAGGTAAAATGGGAAAGAGCCGTGCTGAAGAAAGTATAATTATCTAGGAATAACTGGTTGACATGATGGTCAATTTCATCAAGTATAATAATTTTCATTTAACATTATTGAACCAGAATTATAGACCTTATTTTCAAACTTCTAATTCCTTATGGGCAATTCATTTTACTTCTTATTTGTAATACATTATAAATTCTACCTTGCATCCTATCTAATTGTTTGGTTTCTTTTTCTTTCTTTTTTTTTTTTTTTTTTTTTTTTTTTTTTTTCTCCTGTCTTTTGGATGCACAGTTACTTTTAATTAAATATTAATAACCATATTTTAATTTATCCTATAATTGGGAAATTAAAGAAGAGAGTAATGCATTGGTTCTTGACTTTCTGAGGGAAAATATTTCTGTGCAATGATGGAGGAATCCAAATGGATCTATCTCAGTGAATATCTGACCCTGGCTGACAGCACACCAATTGTTCTGCCACTCATCCTGTGCAGATAGAAGATTATTTGTGGAGCTGTGTGGAAATGTCAAAATAGATAAAAGGCTACCCTGCACATTTTGTGCATCCAGAAGGGGTGTTCTTGAGTGAACTAGCATCTGTGAAACAAAAGGATCAGCTACTTAGGCATAACGAATGCATTTAGGCTTTGGCTCTCTGCCTCAATTCGCCAGGGGCTTTCTGAGACCACTGTTCTGGGGTGTGAGTATTAGGGGCTCAGTTCACAGGGACCCTCTGCCTGGCATTTTCTGAAAATCAGAAATTTCTACAGCATGTTGAGCTGAGCATTCAAAACCTTTTCTTATTTTAGGACATTGCCATTCTGTCAGTGCTTCTGGAAGCACTAGCTGCAGGTGAGCCACTATTTACTGATGATACCCTCGTGACTCAGAGAATGTGAATGACACTTTTGTGTCACAAGGTTTTGGGGAGGTGTTCGGGGTGCTTCCTGGCCTCTGATCCTTGATTTACTTGTTAGGCAAGATGATAGTGAAGTTGTCCCCAGCACAATGGGAAAAGAAACATTTCACACTGACTTTTCCTCTTGTTGCTATTTTGGAGTCTAGGCCAGGACTTTTCAGAATATCCTTAAGCAGTGATGTATTTATCACCTTATCAATAGAATGAAGAGGGACATTAAACATGATAACATGTCATTTTGAATCAACTTTAAAATCTGTTGTTTCAGGACTAGTTGTAAAGTGATTATTCATTTTAGATAGAAGTCGTTGCAGGCTTCTTGTCTTGTTTTTCCTAAAACCAATCAATAATAAGATTTTTAAGCTGCCTGAGGGATTGAGAATCTTTATGCTTTGAGTGAGTTTGATGTCTCTGACCATATCTGTGAAGCTTGTCAGTGTATGCAGTGTACTAAATCAGGTTTACATTAGACCTTGCTCTACTTTGCAAATTAAAAACAAATAAACAACCCCTACATATTCTTTCATTTCAGTATTTCCCCTGTAGCTTTAAACTGCTTAATTCAAATAGAAGCTTTCTACTCATAACCTGAGAATATTATGTTGTATAGGTAGGGGATATTCTTTCTCTTCAAAAATAAACATGATTCCAGCCATCTGCCACTCAGAGTTGTCTTTAAAAAACTGGTAGGCAACATTTAGAAGATAAGGCTTTTTCCTATTACATACATACTCAGATAGACAAGCTTTTTAGATCTGGACAAAAGTTCCTAGTGCTCTGTGTTGATAAATTAACCACCTGTTTCAGAAAGATTTAAAAGACTTGACTGAGTTTTATTCAAATGAACTCTGCCTCTGTAAAACTTAGGTGATTTTTTTTTTTTTCTATCTGAAACTGTTCTGAAGGTGCTAAAGGATAAGAACAGGTCACAATTTATAAGCATGCAAAAAAGAAGTCTGATAAACTGAAGGATTGTAATTACTGATAGAATAGAGGATTGATCATTTCCTTTCAGTGCAATTGATCCAATCTAAGGTGCTAAATTGCAGATACGTATGTACATACATATATATGTATCTGAATGTTTATGCAACTGAGTAATCCTGGTGTTTGTAACTATTCATGTACACAGAAATACTCAAGTAAGTACATACTGGGAAATTAAGGGCCTAAGACTATATTTTCTGGAAATTGCTGCTATTTGATTTATAATGTAGTGTACCAGTACACAGGTACTTTTAGAAAATGGTAGAGTTAAAATACAGGCTTCAGTAGGGCAGCTGTTAACACAGCTGGAATTAAACAAGGATTCCCCCCCTTTTCTCAAACAAACATGGAAAGCAAACTCTTATCAGGTCCTGTCTATCAACAAGCTGGCAGGCTATTGACTACTGTCCATTGCGCTGCCGAATCCTGTCTTGTTACCTTTTGTTCTCTTGTCTGTAGCTGCCGCTTGTCCTCTACAAGATCTGTGCCCTGCAATTTCTGTAGGGCAGACATCGTCTCTCTATTAAATGCTTGTGCATAATCCAGGTCGATTAACAGTCCAGTAACATGCATTAAGTAACATCCAATATCAGGAGAGAGCTAGGACCATAAGCTAATGCTATCTATGCTATTCATAATCTTCTAATTATGAATAGATCTGCTATTAGAGTTCTGTACTTTATTTTTCTATTTATTATGATTTTACTAATATTGTTGATAATCTAATTATAGATATAAGGAATTTCCATTCAAATAGAGCCATCAAAACAGAAAACACTGTTTCTTTTTATTTTACCTTGAAGTGTTTTAGGTGCTGAGAATACAGAGAGAAGAAATAAAAATAAAAATAAAAAATAACAGAAGAAAAAGCAGAAATTGAAACTCCTTAAAGAAACAGGCTTTTTCAGAAAAATTAATTTGGGGGTTAAACATTTAACCTTGGCTGATTCTTTAACTTGAATAACTGAATTACCTGCTAATGAGAAAGTGGAGCCAGCCATTTTCTACTCTCAACCAGAACAAGCAAAACTGAGATTCCTACTAACAGTAAGTAATCTCTCATTTATTAAAGAGCATGAGCTCTTCTAAGGACTTGAAACATTTCAAGAGAGCATTTCAAACATCACTTGTTCAGTAGTTCTGGGTGATTTATAAAACTACTTAATTTAATTAGTTTAGGAAACTAATATTTCAATTGTGGATTTTTTTTTCTGACTCTTGCGGCAGGCACACTGAAATGAAAGTGCATCCACAGCTACAGTTTACAATAAGTGTATGTATAGACCGTATTTTGCTTTTTAGTAGCAAAGGAGTGACCTGATGTTTTTTTTTCATTTTGCAGAGGTGTAATTTTTGAAAGTCTATGGTTTTGAGACATTCTATTCAAGTCAAGGTTAATGAGATTTTAACACCAAAACTTTGTGTTAAAAAGTGATCTAAACAGGAATTGTCAACATTTCATCATGGCAAATAATTTCTGTACAGGAAGTGACACCCACCAATGTTGTAAAATTTATGGGGTATGGAAAAGGTGGCAAGTATTAGGTTTGAAAATTACATAAAAGAGAATACTGAGTAGATTTTTGAAATATTCCTTCAAAAGCAGATGATTGGATAGTCTGATATTCAGTATATATTGTGTATCATATTCTAATGTTATTGTAGATCTTGTAATAAAGAGTGAAGCTCTGGTCACATACCTGTAGAAAGGATTTGATAAATTACGGAGTTTTAGATTAAAGGAACAATTAGACATCCGTAGAAAATGTTGATGTTTATTTTCCTTTTCCACCACAAAACACACACACACACACACACACACAAATAAAAAATAATAAAAATATCCTGATAATTAATGACATTTTACATCTGTTTTATAATAATACAAGATCAACATATATAATTACATTGAAAGCAATTGCAGTTCACAAAAGGAACTATTATTTCCCATAACATGCAATTAGCCTGTAACACTCTTTGTCAGAAGCTATGATTGAAGTTGAGAGCATAAACCAGCCTCTGTAGAGTAAGTTAATACGTCACAGGTGAGTTTCATGGGCATTTTTTTAGTATATGAATAAGGACAGAATTTCCCGAAATGAAAAAAATGTTAGAGATGGACAGTATTTCTTGTATCTCCCTTTGAAGACATGTTATAGGCCATTGTTGAAGATGTGGTTATAGATTTAGTCAATCACCACATCAGTTCTTACACAGCTATAAATGCAAATCTTATGTATAGTATTGTAAGTAAGATGTTGTATTTTAGATGCTGTTTCATCCATGCAAGTATGTAACTGAATTCTGAGATAATTTTTACCCAGTTTGATAAATCAACTTTCAGGGGGAGGGGCATTTCTAGAGGCTTTTGGAGGTCTAACACTCATTAAACTGACAACTGTCCTGCAAGGACTTTGCTCTGAACCAATATCTTCAGCTAAAATTCTAGAAAGGACTTGTTTGCCTATCCAAGTAGTACTTGAGAGTATCATCAAAGTAATGCTTGAACAACTCTGGAGAAACATGCTGTTTTCCAAAGCTAAGGAGGAAGAAAAAAGTAAAATGGGTGAAAGATTACTGCAGATAAGAAAACAGATCCGGTTACTGAGAAAACTAGAAAGAGAAAAATTTTGCAAATTTTTTTCCTTAAGACATATACTTGTTGCAACACTGATTTATACGTTGATTTATCTGCACAAAGCCTGCTTTCACTTCTTGTACCACCTATTTCATGAATCTCTGCTTGCTGTTGAAGGACTATGGGGGGAGCTCCATTGTTGCAGGAATGCTTCAGCCGGGTACAGCAGGTAGCAGAGCACAATCCTTCTCACACAACCAGCAACGTGCTGCAGCTTTTCCTGCTTCAAAGTAGCATTTCATCTCTCTCAAAGTCATATTCCATGGGGTAAAGGAAATAACACGTTGAGATTGTCAGTGACATTCTTCACTATTCAAGTGACTTCTTTTGAACAGCTGTTAAGACACCATTATAGCTTCACAGTTGCTCCAAAGGGATAACAAATAATAAATAAAAATAGAAATAGAAATAAAAATAAAAATAAAAATAAAAATAAAAATAAAATAAAAATAAAGGAGAAAAAAAAAAAAAAAAGGAGCACATTTGAATATGTAGGCAAGGCCTTATTTATATTGCATTTGTGGTATACCACCAACAATGTCCATTCATTTTCACCTGACACTCAGATGCTATGTCCTACTGTGTGAGATAAAACACAGCAACAGAGTAATCACTCCTTTCTCTTACCTCAGGGCAAAATTGCTGATGCTGCTGCAGACTGAGTCTCAAGGGAAAATGAAGCAAGTATCACATTTTGCTATGCCTGTGCATGTGTGGATAAAATATAGCGGAAACCGAGGGCATGATCCAAATCATGTAACACAACCCCTCACAATTTTTCTTGGAAAAGTCTTCTGATATTGCTTGTAACATCACTGGTGCATGCAGGGAAGTACTGATGATGGCATGGTTGCAGCAGTTCTTTTGCCATTGCCTAATCCTGAAACTTGGAACTCAAAATCCTAAAGAGAAGGATACGGGGATGGTTTTAGCTTTTCAGCTGTGCAAAGAGGAGAGGAAAAACAGTGCAAAGGCTCATCACACTCACGTGAATGTTTTGGCTGTCATTGGTAGCAGCACAAACTTTCCATATCTGTCTAAAGCCAGCAACTGGGAGTAGTACAGACAGAAAAGTCACACTGAATTCTGCTATTAAAGCAAAAATGAAAAGGAACAGAAGTGGTTTATGAATTACTTGATGTGTATGATGTGTCTTAAAGTGCAGTAAATGTTCAACAAACTTGTTACGTGTCAGTAAGTTCTACAACTATTTTTCCCAGTAACTCTATGACAATCTAGCATTGTTTTTCATTAACACTTTTTCTGGAGCTGAACAAAATGCAATGACTAGTTCCTTTTATGTATCTTAAGGGCATAATAAGACAGTGCTTATTGTTTGTGGAATAATGGTCACAACAGGTTTGCATAACTGGTTACAGCTGAAAATAATTTGCAGTATTTATATCAACTACTTACATGAAACATTTTGGCTCTTACTTGGATCACAAAATTTTCACTGAATTTCATGGCAAGCTTTTAAAGATGTTATGAACCAACATTACACCAACTGAAGGAAAAGAAAATGAAAAAGAAAAAACACTTTGCATTCCTTTATGAAGCATATTTGAATTCATAGCATAGAGCTATTTTGCTTTTTCTTAAGAAAAAAAAAATATATGTAGAAAGATCATTCAAAAAAAATAATCATATATCTCGTTTGTCTTAAATCACAGAATATCTCACAATTTCAACTGTGTACAATATGACAACAGAACAACCACCAAGCTAATACTGCTGTTCAGAGTTAAAATTTGTGATAGTTTTGATTCTCTTATTTAAACTTACATGACTGTATTGGGTTTAAGTGCCAAGATTTTGGTAGCAGGGGGCTGAAGGGGTGGCCTCTGTGAGCAGAGCCCAGCAGCTGCCACGTTAGATAAAGGCCAGATTTAGCCAGCTCCAGAGGGACCCACTGCTGGCCAGACCAAGCCAATAAGCAATATCATTTCTATCTCCGTAAGAGCAGATTTAAGAAAGGGGGAGAAACCTGCTACGCAACAGCAGCTAGGAGAGGGAGGAGTGAGAAGCAGCCCTGCAGCCCCCAAGGTGAGTGCAGCAGGAGGGCAGGAGGTGCTCCAGGCAGGCAGCAGCAGTTCCCTGCGGCCTGTGGGGAGGCCCCTGGTGGAGCAGGCTGTCCCCCTGCAGCCCATGGTTCCCACATAGAGCAGATCTCCACGCTGCAGCCTGTGGATGAGCCCCCGGTGGAGCAGGTGGATGTGGCTTGGAGGAGGCTGCAGCCCATGGAGAGTCCCTGCAGGAGCAGGCCCCAGGCTGGAGCTGCAGCTGCGGGGGACCCGTGCTGGAGCAGTTTGCTCCTGGGAGATGGATGGACCCCGTGGTATGGAGCCATGTGGGAGCAGTTCTTGGAGAGCTAGCTGCTGGCTGTGGGCAGCCCCCACAGGCTCAGTTTGGGAAGTACGACATCCCGTGGGAGGGACCCCATGGGGAGCAGGGGCAGAGTGACTGAGAAGGAGCGGTGGAGACGAAATGTCAGGGACAGACTGTAGCCCCTGTTCCCCATTCCCTTACGCCACTTGGAGGAAGGATGTAGAAGATGGTGGATGGGGGGAAAGGTGTTTGCCTTAAATTTCTCCCTGCTCTAGGTTGTTAGTAATAGGTAATAAATTTAGCTAATCTCCCTATGCTGGGTCTGTTTTGCCTGTGACAATAAGTGGTGGGTGATCTGCCTGTCCTTATCTCAACCCTTGAGCACTTTACATCATATTATCTCCCCCTTTCCCTCTGAGGAGGAGTAGTAAGAGAGCAGTTGTGGCAAAGCTCAGCTGTGCAGCTGAGTAAAACCACCACAAAGTCATATTTTTGCAAGTTGGTACTTTTTTCCCAGTTTATGTATCATAGAATTGAGGTTATCTCATGTTTACTTTGAATAATGACGCATTCCACAAATAACTAGTCACAATGGGGTAATTACTGATGCTGTGCTCCAGGCTGAATCTACCCCCCAGTTCTGCCACTATCATCCAAACTGAGCAGTAGGAAATAAAGTGGGATTATCTGTATCCTAATCCTGCTAAATCAAGATGGAAAAACTTTTCTCTTAGACATCAGTATAGGTAGATAGGTCATAACATAAATAGTCTTTGAGTTTAGCCAGTTACTTCCACAGTTGTATAGATTATGATTTGAAGGAGAGTTGTAACAGTGCAGTCTTTGCTGACACTTAGAAAATACAGTAAATATTTTGCAGAATGTGTCAACTGCTCACGGCTTTGCATGTAACACTGAACTTTTATGAAGTATTTTATTATTAAGGATTAACTACAACATTACCTTTTAATAGGATCATAAATCTTTAATTACAGTTCAATATGCTAGCAAATAAAATTGCTTTTGGAATGAAACTTTTTTATTAAAATTATATGAATATGAAATTTCTTTTAAATGTAAA